GATTTCTCGCAAAATAGAAATCATGTGATAGCTGAATTTAGATAGATATTGAGAAACTTTAAGAAGAAAGGAGTTTGAATGGGGAAAGCAGAATTCGGTATCGTAGGAGAATTTTCTACCGGAAGACAGGCCATATCTAACTACAAAAACACAGTTTTCAAGATCGAGCAATATGCATACATTGATTTGGAGCATAAGTTCGCACCATTTTAAAGATAGAAATATAATGTTACATCATGTACAATGCAATGTAAACATATTTGTTTAGCAGTATACAGGTTTGGCCAAAACATAATAATCCTATTTATATCCATCAAAATGTTTTATCTTATTTTTTTAGTATTGAACATCATATCCTTGTTTTGAAAATGATTTTCGTTTCCCGATGTATACAATTTAGTTTATCTATTTGAAGTTATTACTTATAGAGGTCGTTTCATTGGCCTACTCTGTACATACACATCTAAAGAAATTTAAAATAAATTATAAAAAACGTAAAAGCTGTTTAATGTGTGCAATTTTTTCTCACTTGTGTTAACGTGTATATTCAGTTTTAACTCCCTTTTATGCCTGGGTCGATGCCCAATTCACAAAACAGCGTCTACCAGTCCTCCTAAATAAGCAAAAATATGCATATCTTGTGCTGCATGTGATCATAAAGGAATGTCAAATATACCGATCTTGACTCCATATATGCTAATGTAGTTGGTTTATATCTTCGCGCATGTCTCAATATAATCACATGCTGCATATCACTTATCTCAAAATATAGGAATACTCAGAATATTCTCAGGAATACTCATGAAAAATGGCATATATGCAGATTATATGCAAATATAACCAGTGTCAATTTCTATATATATCTAGTATACTCAACTGCTTATATTTGTCTATCCCAAATAAGCAGGTATATGCAGTTTCTGCGCTGCATATGATCACAAGTAAACAGCAAATATGCAAAGTATGTCTGAATATAAGCAAATATACTCAGTGACAGTACCCGTATATGCAGTCAGTATTCTCCGTGGATGTTTGTTATATGCAGCTGCATATATTTGTGTTCCATATATGCAGTTATTGTCTGCGTTCTGTCAGTGATGATCACTGTTTATAACATGCAATTCGAAGCAAATAAACACCAGAATTGCTCGTTATTTGCAAGCAATATTCGTTTTTTTATACAGTGTCACCAATCCGCTTGACACATCATAGTTATACCGATCCTTGACGTATACAGTAAATGGATTCATGCATGACCAATATCCTTCCAAAGACCAATTCCCTCAACGACTCGCGAAATTTTTTTCCACTCAAGCAGTACATGAAGAAGTTCATCGCGCTGTTGAGGTAAAGTAACATACTTACAATCGCCCATCTGAGTTCTGCGTGTGCATCTTCAGCCAATGTTGTTGTGAGTTGCTGATCATTGAGCAAGTTATTTTTAACTATATCGATGGCGATTGGACCTGTGAAACATAGGAATAGTAATGATATCGACACGAGCATAATCGTAATCGACTTTACAGCGTCGTTCGTTTTCGAATTCGAGACGTTCATTTTCTTATTTCGACGAATCCTTGCTTTCAACAACTTAACAACGATTAAAATGTTACAAATTACTAGAATGGTAAAGGGAATAAACGAGGTGAATACTGCATCAATCCAGGGCCTGTATAAGTGAAGGAAAGTTTCAAAGGCTTGTTGGTATTCGCAGGTGACAGTATATGGTTCACCCATATCGATATAAACACGGTCTCCAATAGTGAAAATCCAGTGACAGTTCAGTCCAACAGTGAGTGACGTAACGACACATATTACAATTATGGTTTTATTCTTTGTGCAGATTGACTTTGCCTTTAGGGGTAGGTAGACGAGAATAACTCTGTCAATTGAGACACAGACCAACATCCAGGCAGATAAGCTTATAAATGTATATGTTGAAAAAATATGGAACTTGCAAACCCATTCATGTGCGGATCGGATTTCATAGTCAAACATAGAGAAAATCCACTTTTCTCCTAGACTGATAACTAGTACTCCAATATCACAAATGGCAAGAGCAGACAAATACATTGAAAAGTTGCACTTTTTCATGCTTGTAAATGTCGTGACTAGAAATGATAAAATATTACCAATGACTCCAAGTACGATAACGACAGGTGACATATACTTCCATAGAGCCATTCCTATTTGGTATTCTACATAGTCCTCTATTGAAGATGTATCGTTATATCCTTGGGGAGAATTATTTTCTTCGACTCCAGAAGCTGTCGGCGACTCCATCGTTACAATATGTGAAATATAGTGACGAGATTGGTATGGCTAATGGCATAATTTTGGCCAAGCCCCAGCGCTATGAATTATTCATTGATGGCAATTAATATAATCAGGACAACATTTGGAGGATCATGCCTTATGATCTCAATCTTGGCATCGTTCCGCTCGGCATTTCATTTTGACTTCACTACCAAATCTGCATGTTTTATAAGTAGCGATTTAACCTAATTGGCAAAGTAACCAGCCACTCCGTCTAAGCGACTACATAAAGGATCCGTACTCATTGGTGTACCTATAAGGACTTCGAAATATTTAAAAAAGGGTAAATTGGAATTCCAGGATTATTTTTCTGTAATATGAATCTTTAAGAAGTATATTTTCAACATATCACAAAAATAATATTTAGAACAGGGTAAAAAGTTGTTTTTACAGTAATTCTTATCACATTTTATTCTGACTCTTTTTTATTCTGACTTAAAATGAGTAATTTTCATATATTTTCACAAAACCTTGAATAAAATCTTGATTTTTGTAGATACAGTATAAAACAGTATAAAACTACATTGTGTCAGAGCATAGCAAGCTTCACTATGCAGATCGGCCATGCATGTAATCCTATTGTTTCGAAAGGCACCCTATTGTGTTCTTGTTCCACAAGTCAGACCCCCTCTGATTTTACCTTTTTTGTTTAGTATTGACATTATTGCATAGTTCAAACATGAAATGAGAGAGGGTCCTGACTGCGGAAAATATACAATGTGAAAGTATAGCAAAAAATCTAGATTCCAAAACGAGGTCATATTGGATCTGCCAGACACCAATGCAACAAACTATCAGACAAGTATCAAATGGGTCAATTTATTATTGATTTATCAGTCATGTATGCCTCTGAAGTTGATATATCGAAGAGGGGCTGAATTAATATCCATTTAGTCATTAAAGGGGCACTGTCTGTCAGGTAGTTCTCATGCTAATGAACACTAAATTATTTTAAACAAAGAATCAAATGGGTCAATCTTCTTTTGATTCATCAGTCATGTCTATCTCTGGAGATGATATGTTGAAGAGAAACTGAATTAACATCCATTTAGCCATTAAAGGGACATTGTAAGGTAGTTCTCACCCAAAGAAACAAATAGGTCAATCTATCTTTGAGCGATCATTCATGCATGCCCCTGAAAATGATATATTGCAGAGGGACTGAGTAATTATCAATTCAGTCATATAGAGGGACATTGCTTGGAAGATAGTTCTCATCCTAATGAACACACAAATATTTTAACAAATTATCAAAGGGTCCATATATTTTAGATTCATCAGTCATGCCTACCCATGAAGATATTGCAGAGAGACTGAATCAATATCCATTTAGCCATTTAAAGGTACTTTGCTTGTAAAGTAGTTCTCCCCAAAGAAACAAATAGTTCATTTGATCTCCATGCCTGCCCCTGAAGATGATATATTGCCGAGGGACTGAATTAATATCCATTTACCCATTTAAAGAGACACTGGTTGTAAGGTAGTTCTCAACCAAAGAGGCTAATTGGTCAATCTATTTTTGAAGCCTGTCCAAGAAGATGATATATTGCTGAAAGACGGAATCAATATCCATTTAGCCATTAAAGAGACACTGCTTTAAGATAGTTCTCATCCTAAGTCACACTAAAATATTTTACTTCATAATAATTATATACATATAACTTGTACAACTGATAGATTAAAATATACCCCCCATGTTTGATAGCAAAACAATGGATTTAAAACTGACGAAAAAGTATCCTACATGCACCTTTTCAATTTTAAAAAACAATCATTTGACTTCAATTGAATTATTCTTTGAAAAGGCCAAATAAATATATCATATATTGGAAAGTCACAACTAGATTTTTGATATTTGAGTTGAATACCTAGGTTTTGTGTTTTCCATATGTTGCCCTTTGTGTCCTTCATTTAATAAAGTTGTTTAATGTGCCTTCTAAATTGAATTCCCTACTGCATACCAAGTGAGGTGATCATGGTACTTTTGCTGAGGTTTAAGATTAAGATTCATTGAAATATTACATTTTTAGGGGTTATTTTATGATTTGTGTTTTCAATATGTTGCCCTTTGTGTCCTACTTAAATGATATTTTAATATATAGATTGATTGAATGGCCAACACACTTAAAATGATCATGAATAAATGACCTTAGTTTTAATCCCTATGACCTAATTTTGTTTTGGATGTGTTCATAATTGATAAAAGTAACTATTTCCATGTTATATTCAATAAAACCTTTTAAGGCATCTTTAGGTACATAGGGTAACGGATCCTTTTATACGTGCTTATTTTTAATTGATCCCCTTTCTGCACGAACTATTGATGCCAAGTACACCTTGGTATAAAAAAGCAATTATTGTGGAAATATTACATTTATGACCACGATCTTTGACATAAATATTCATTAGGAAATGATCGTTTCAACACTGGTTTTACTGTGTGTAATACTATATTTTAATTGGATTACGTTAATAGCTTTCAGCTAATACAAAAATTGTTTTCCATACACAGGCTACGGGCCTGACATTGCAACATCTTTTATAACAAATCTATAAAGTCAAATCTAATTTGAATAATATAAAGATGGATTTATAAGTGATGTATACAATTGATGTTTATTGAAGTATGTGACACTTTAATTATTTATTTATTCTTTATTTATTTATTCTTCATAACAATATCAATTGGCCATGTATTGTATAAAAGACAAGATTAACACAGAATTGATATACTCATAACAATGTTCTTTATTCCAAATAAGAGAGTAACCATACAGTTATACAGACGTGTATTTAAAGGTCTCGGTGCTCTAAAAATTGATTTGTAGGAGGTACAAATACCACTGAAATCAGCATGAAAAGATCTCTAATTCTGTGTTTTCAGATTTTTAAATTGAAATCTCAATAACAAATTAAATGCTAAACTAATTCCATTTTGTAAAAATCCAAATGCGCCATCTTGAATTATGACATAACAATGACACCATCTCATTTGCATATTCACACATTTCTTCAAAAAACATAAAGTATGGGTCTGGCCCTTCAAAATGATATATAACTCATTGTGTCTTACTTCATTTTCTTGCTTCTAGATTCATTTACATTTTATTTTTTCATTTTTTTCATTTCTCCTAAAAGTGGCCAGTCTTCAAGAAGTTAAAATATCGTGGTGTATATATAACATTGATTTTCACTTGAACATTTGGATTGGATATTCAGCTTTCATTCCATGTAAGGAAAACAAAAATTAATAAAATGTTGATGGAGTGGGACGTGGGAGCTGCTACAATGACCGCTACTTTTGGCAGTTTTCAGAACGTTTCTTCCAGTGTATTTTTTATTTATTTAATGAGAGGTTCACCTTAATCATTACAATAAAATTCCCGTTTTTGGGCTAATTTCCTGAAAGCATTATACGCTAATATTATCATATAAATTATTAGTATTAATATAAGGAATCGATTGCAATATGATAGATCGCTCATTTAGCCCTAGTTAGAGCTAATTTTGTATATAAAAGTGAAATAATTTGGGGAATCCACGAACAGTTTGGGGGTTTCTCTAGATCCATCGTTGTCAGGAAAATTGTGTCATATTACATTGGTTTTTCTCACAAGAGCGGGCTACGTGTATTACGGCATCAATTTGTGTTGGATGATATTGAGATATTCATTGTGACATTTGTTTTGGGGAATTCCTAACATCGGCCAAAAACCTTCACTCCCGTTTATTAGTCGAGCAATTTATAATTGATTAGATTGCGAAAGCGTAATTTGCATTTCATTGATGAAAATAAATATTATCGATGAATTTTTTCCCAAAAAATCATTCTACTGTTTTCTAAGCCCTTGATAGTTATATAAATCATTTAATTAACCCATGCGTAATCAAAAAAGCTATTTTCCATCCAAAATTTGCATTTAGTTGGTGCGTAGCCATGTACACCGGACGAAAACTTCACTTTGGCCCCTAGCAATGCGGTGCCTAATGGACACGGTTTCCATTTCTTTGACTTTGGGGAACCAGTTTTTACAAATTCAAGAATATTTTTCACCACGGTCCGTTCAAACTGTTTGTCTCTTGCTGTTGGTGATGCAATGTAATTCGGAATGTGGCCAGAAAATGCCATATTGTCAAAATTATGGAACGCATACTTCGCTTTAAATGAAAACCCTTCGAGGATTATTGTTGGGACTGATGGGAACTGTGTTACAACATATCTATATACACCCGTCGTTCTATTTGAATCACAAGCCATATTGGCCAGTACATCATTGGGGCAGTTTACTAGTATGTCAGATACCATACTAGTGTACTGATACCTAGGGTCGCTGGAATTGGTTATTGGATAAAGCTCCAGGGCCTTGGCTGTTATATTCTCACTAAATGTGTCTAGTTTCTTCGTAACATAGTCCTCGTACTGCTGTTTGTTCCATGTTGTTACGTTTAAAGGGAATGGCTCAAAGTCAATCTCCTGAGCAGTTGTGCCTAAAGAAAAGTAAGATGGATGAGAATTTTTTTATATATAAGCTGCTTACTCAAATAAACTTGTACGTTTAGGGATCATACTATATACCCTTGCTACAATTGGATGATTTAAATCCCTTAAAGGGAGTTTTAGATAAGCGTTAAAATACATATACCCAGCTAAATGAATTCAATAATCTAAATCACGAGAAAATGACTAACATCATCAGGGTCACCTATATATATTTTCTGTATCGAAAATCCAGGGGATAAATATATTATGATTATGATTTACGTTTTACATCAAGCGATTTAATTGATGAAGGATATGTTAATGCATCGTCGCCTCACCTCAATGTGAAAAGAAAATGTAAAATGCATTTCTATATCTTTATTTTTTGTGAAAGTGGTATTATATATGGGTACCCAAGGACTGACAATTGTGTTACACATTTTGAATCTAATCTTAACAGTTCAGATAGAATGGAATCAACCCATACTTATGTATATCAGCAATGTGCACATTTTGGGGTGGAATTCTTTGAAAATCGATGGGTTGCAATTTGAGAACTTTTAATTTGAGCTTTGTCAATTTAACATACATCTCAATGGTACAATAAGTAAGGAGAGTTCCAGAGAAGGGTGGACTAGATGTGTCCTGATCATGGCGGAGATATGAGCCATAGTGTGAGCGGGTAATTTATGAGAAATGACCAGCATTTTTGATGGAATTCCAGTCAATTTTCCCCCATTTATGACCCCTTTGGGCCCCCGTATGACCATTCTGATATACACAGGATGTTTAAATGTAAAATAAAAACATTGTGTGGCCAAGCCTGAATGTGAATATCGACTCTATTTTGAAATTCTGCAAGATCCATGGACTCTGCGCAAATGGCAGCCGATATAAGGCCTCATAAAAAGGTGTCACTACGGTAATTTATTGAAAAAATTCACAAAATTCAAGTTCTGGGGTACACATAGCCATTTTCGAACGAATTAGCGCATACAATGACTATATTTCTGCGTTCCCCTATACATAACTTTCATCTTGACACTATATTAATATAGGATTTGTGTCTCGATTTTTAAATATCACTACGCCAACGTAGGGACTCATTTTTAGGTAAAATCCGTCCTACACCGATGAAAATTAACGAATAAAGTAGTTCCAGTTTGTGGGACTATATTCTTGCGATTCTTTCTAAGAATGGTACATTTGGAAAGTATTTGCCCTCTCAGCTTTACATACCTACCTCAAATGGCCGCAGTACATGCATTTAAACCTACTGCACCCACCATTGAAGTTGGCATGGCTTCGTTTTTAAAATATTAAAAAACACTGTCCCATCCGGAAGTGGTATCTACCGTAGTGACACCTTCCAAAACGGGAAAAGGATGGGTATCGATATGGTGAACTCTTTGAACACATGTTTCTCTTAAACAAGTCATCAAAAAATTCTGTAATTCTACACATCGTCAATTTAATGGTCATCTTTTTAATGGTGACAATATATACTTTTCTCTTTATTGTTTAATAAAAAACACATCAGACACCTCTTGGTATCATATGTTCGGAATAAAATGAAACATCTAACCGAACGCCCATTGGAACAAAATGGCATAAACACAACGTGTTAAGGGCTCTCAATAATGTAATTGTACAAAGAAAAGTTTGGTTGATTTACAAAAAGTATCTTGTTATTGAAATAAAAAAAATTATCTTAATTTTTATCTATTTTGGGGGGTTTTGTTTTAATTTTTGAATCCTTTTTGTAAAATCAACCCAAATTTCCTTTGCATAACTATAATATTGAGGTTTAAGAAAACGTTGTATATGCTGTTTTGTTCCAACAAGTTTCGGAAAGATATTTTATTTCATTCTCAAGAATTGGTAAATAGGAACAAAAACAATTGCACTAAAAACAACAAAAAATGTAAACAAAAAACAGTTATATAAAATACTACATATAAATAATTTTCGTATTATGTCAATCAGTCAAAACAACTTAAAGGACCGTGTTTTTTACAGAATGGTTTCAACGATTGGTTGAAGAGAAAAGATTGTTGAATTCAGTTTACCATATCGATACCACTCCTTTGACTATGATAGTTTTTGCTTCAAAAATTGAGTTATTTCATGCTCAAAACACCTGCTTTTTCAAACTTTTAATGTGATGTGTTAGAATCTGAATTTGAATTTTTAGTGAATGCAAAATTAGATATTAACCCTTTCATCCCCAAGGGGTCATTTATTAATATTATGAAAATTTCAAACTGACAAATACCTCTATGGCAAGAATTAATTATTTTTAAGTTTACAATAATTACTTTAGAGAACATGTTTAAGAGTTTGAACCCAGATAGGCTGAGATAGGGGTCATAAGTGCAGTGGCCCCATTATGCTACAAAATGCTTCAGAATTTTCGTTTTCGGACGAAATGAGATTTGACGTTTGAAAATAGTGTGAAGTTCCAATATCCAATTGGAAAGTTGAAAGGGTCAGCTTTAGGAATATGAATTTGAATTTTGAGTGAATGCAAAATTAGATATTAACCCTTCGTCCCCAAGAGGTGATTTATTAATTTCATGAAAATACGAAAAGTACCCATATGACCCGAATGGATTATTTCTAGATTTACAATAACTAATTCAATGCCAATATTGTACTTTGGAGAAAAGTTAAGAGTTTGAACCTAGATAGGCTGAGATAGGTTCCATAAGTGCAGTGATCCCATAATGCTACAAAATGCGTCAGAAGTTTTGTTTTCAGTAAAAAATGAGAAATGATATTTGAAAATATTATGTATTTTAATGTGTAATTTGGGTATTTAGGAATGTACAATACAACTAACTATAAACTTCTCTTGAGAATATTAAGATTGCAGCAAGCGTGAATTGACTTAACATGAGAATATGCACCTTTGACTTAACATTTGGTATCATCATATCCCTTTGACCTTAATATTAATTTTTTAAAAGGAGCACGAGTTGTTTGTAGAACTAATCTGGGGAGCTTTTTCGTGCATTCCGCATTTTGTGATATAAACCAAAACAACCACATAAGGTTTATATTAATGATTTACATTCCTGTTATTCCAAAGTCTGCTTGGAACTATTCCATTGAATCACTATGGGTAATTCCACAAAGATAAAATTCTTGGGATTAAGGAAGAGGCACCAGTTACACAGTTTTAGAAATTTTTGGAATACATGAAACCCATTATAAACAGCATTAATATTATTCAAAAGCGATCGTAATAATGATTCCCAGCCCTCTGAAGTTTGAAAAATAACAATACCTGGGTGTTAATCCATAGATAATCCTTGGAAATGAAAAATATTTATTACTAACTGACTTTATTAGGATTATATGGTGTTATCTTATAGTCAATAAAATATTTTAAAGTGTATTGATGTTTTTTAGATGAAAAACACAAGCGAAATACATGAAAAAACTCCCGAGATTCATTCTACAAACAACTCGTGGTTCTTCACCCTTCTAAGTTTACTTATCAATGATATGATTGATTCCAAAAGACCCGCAATACCCGCAATCTAAACAAGTGGTGTGGATGATGCACTACATATCAAGGTTAAGTGGCATCTCTATTTACCCATCCAGCATCTTATTTCACTCTAATTTCACTCTAAAGTAGATTTCCACCTCAAGTTTGCATAATGTCTAATATTGAGTGGTTTGAATGAATAGTTTCTTCATTTTGCAATTAAAGTACTTTTTTCTGTTTTATATGAAATATCATGATGCAAAATAAGATATTTGGCATCGTTTTCATGGATATTTGGGTGATAATGTCAAAGAGAAAATGTAATCCTAATCCCAAAGCGTTGACATACGCATGCGCACAAAATTTCGGATGTTCGAATAATATAAAATCATACCTATCATCAATGGTACGTCTTTCCACTTGAAATTCAGATCGGGGATAACTGTTCCTGAAAATACAACGATATGTCACGACAATATCACCTAATAAATATCAAAGAATATTTTTAAGGCAAAATAACATCACCTGTTTAAAACTGGAGTGTTGATAATATAGTCCAAAAATTTAACTCACCTCGATCAATTGATGTTGCATTGATCCTTAGAAAAACTATTCTACTAAATAGTTTACATTCAATCAGAGCACGTTGTAGGGCTACTTTACTCGGGTAACACAAAAACATTTATCAGAGAAATGATCAACATGGAAGGCGTATCACACAGACTTACCATCAGCAATAATAAGTGCTGCAGGAAAGTTCCCTTTAGTTGGCAGATCTACCATCTGCACTTCAAAGTTCCACAGAACTGCCATCGCCTGGACCAACTTGTTAGGACTATAAAAATGTAATGAATGATAAGAAGACAATACCATATTTTACATAATTACAGAGATCATTAAAACTCTCAAAATGAGGACATTTTAAATACTGAATTGCTTAATTAATTGAACATAACCGCAAGTACACCCAACAATATGAGATGAAGTGATAAACACGCTACAATATGAGTACAATCTGAGTATGAAGTAAATACTGTGTGAAACATGCAATATGAGTACAACGTAAATACTGTGTAAAACATGCAATATGAGTAGATAATAGATATAGCAAAGATAGATCGATTACATCATTGATAAAAATAAGAACTCAAAATACTTCAGTGAAGACTTGATAATATTTTACAAATTATTGATCATGCTTAAGTAAAGTTTATGATACGAATTGAGTACAACGGGCGCTTACTCAAGTTGTTGAAGACATTGTAATGTAGTACACCCAGTTGCGTTAAGGATTTTAAGGTTGTCTTGAGACACCGTGGCGAGATCTTTGTTAATAACTGGAGACCCACCAATGGACCAAGCCCTGTGGAATAGACCATCAGCCAATGGAGACAACATCAGTGCAAACACAGACGTCCCTCCACTACTTTGCCCATAGACAGTAACCTGAAGTTTGAAAACTAAAAATAATATTTTACGTACTCTGCTTTTGTAATATCAGACTATAACGATATTAGAGAGGTTTCGCAATTTAACTTTTTTAGTTTAAGCACAACTTATCTAAAATCCGTTAGGTTTTACCAAAGTGCGTAATAGAAATCTTTAGAAATACGGTATAAAATACAGAAAGTACCAATTGCCCTTGAATTCTTCCTATCTAGCTAAATTTTACGAGTGGATATTAAAAACAAGGAAACTGTTGAACCTACTGAGGAACAGTCGCTTACCAAATCAGGATTTCCTCCAAATTCCTTTATATTTTGTTGCACCCATTTTAGGACCAAGATTTGATCCATAAACCCATAGTTACCCGAATGACTTGTCGGAGATGTGGCGCTCAACAAATCAAGAGCTAAGTACCCAAATATGTTAAGCCTGAAAAATATACCAATTGACGGACACATAGAGTTCTTGCCAGGGTACAACTCTTATAATTTTATAGTTTAGCCTATTTAATCTTACACGTTCTTGTGAAGCGCATGTAGGAAATATCCTAAACGGATGAAAAAAACACATTGTGCACACGCGTCTCGACCTCGCAACCTCGTGGTTACGGCGCCCAATCGCCTAGCTCGAACGTGCCGGCGCTGATGCTCTCTTGGCCAACTCGACAACCCAAACAAATGTTGTTTTGTCAGTCGACCTGACTAGAGGCAGCTGATGTTAACACTCGAACACACCCTTAACTAGTTAAAAATGCAAATTCTCAATTAAGTTCAAATTGATTTGAAACTAAGTGCAAGATAATGAGACCACTGATAAAATAACAATATAAATGAAATTAAAATACGTTTCAACTTGGTTGATCAAATTATGATAAAAACATGCGGACCAAACGGACACAAATGCACATACCTATAGTTAAAAGTGACAATTACATATTTCTTCAATTTTGCCCTTAAAGTGCCCTCATCGGGTCCATATTTCGGCCAATTGGCACTTCCGATCAACAGGTAACCCCCGTGTATCCATACCAGCACAGGGAGGTCGGCTTCAGGGTTTAGTGTTGGTGTAAATATGTTGAGGTGCAGACAGTCTTCATCCCCTGGGAAACATGGAGAATTTCATAAATATTGATAGAGCCATCCACTTTAGGATAAATGAGATATTCATCAAAAACATTTTCAATATATGATAAACGAAAAATTGGTGATATGAGAGCAAAAATGTCAAAACTTTTAAGACAACCTTCGTACTTTTATATTTTTGTTGTTGTTTCTGTTTCACTGTATTCAATACGTATTTATCAATATGTGATGCTTAAAGTAAGTTTTTATTTTTTGATCTGATATCTCAATTCTTTAAGATTTGGCAGCTTCGACCATGGCTGGAAGGCTCTCGAAGGACATAGCTATTGAACAGATTGTGGGTTTTTCGAAACCCACTCTCATCTGGTGTATATTTCGTATTATGTAAGTGAGAGAGAGGAATAATCTATACATTTGTTCTTTCTTCACCATTAGTGAGATTATATTGCACGTATCAACTTTCGTATGCTTCAGGTTATACATTTTACTTAAGTATTTGAGTTAGTTAAGGCATCGAAAAGTACAAATCTCGTTTCATTTCATTCCATTTTCGCATCTTAACCTTTCAACGTCACTCTTTCATCCGCTATTTCAATTATTCGCATCCACTCATAACGTGTTTTAAACACCGAATTACATGACGTATATGGCATTATTTTTACATTCGATAAAATAAAAAACATTCGATGAATTGAATAAAGGTAAATTGTTTGTTTTATTTGGTATTTATGGAATATTTAATGTACCGAATAAAGAAGCAGTTTAATCAACATAGACGTAGTAAACGAATCTAGTATTCGAACATGTTAAGGTTGAACCATCCTCCAAACTTGATTGAAGCGACAGCAATAACTTGCAATATCCAGGTGCCAAATCATTCGTAGACGGCTTCACGGCTCAAGGTCCAAAGAAGAAAGGAATTTAATAAATGGTGTCTGGAACCCTGCGTTCTGCGGATGAGACTGGACACGATAATTAAAAGTCAAGTTGTCTCTGTTGTTAAGAAGCATACCATAATGCTTGGTTACCATAGTAACTCTTCCAGCATTATTGGCATGGTTACCTGCATATGACTGGTCAGTTGGATTACGCTGGGGACACATAGGCCCGAACTGTTTGGCTTCATAGGTACCATTCCAGCACGTTCCATTCTCCCGATTTAAACCCTCGGGAGCTTTCCACCGACGCTTTCCTTTAGGGGGAACTGCATACGGTATGCCCTGAAGTATGAGGAATTATAACCCTGTTTGAATGTAAAAATCCATAAAATACATCATTTACGAAATTAAGTGTGGAATAGTATTTCTATTTAACCTCTTTTTTAGTTTCACTTGAAAGTAAGGTGCGTGTAATAATTCAATTGTCAACCTTTCATGAAGAGACAGCTATACAGAATTTAATTTCAAAAAGAGGCAATTAATGTAACATTCAAATGCGACAAACTTCAAATACTACAATACTAAAAGCGAAAAATGGTCGACTTTGAATGTTTTAATCAAGACATGACTCCATGCATGTCAAAGCAGCAAGTTGGGACCCTGGGAGCCAGCCAGTTCTCCTTGAATAAGGGCAAGATCATATGCGTTCCTGCATGTACATGGTTATGTACAGGGTGTCCCGAAAGAATGCCCCCCAGGCAGACATATGCCAATCTCTCCATAGTATGTGTCATATATCATTTTAGAGCTTATCCAAAGTTACATTGATTTGCCAAGTATCATGGTTCAACTCACAGATGGTAAAAAGTTACAGGCATTTCAAAACTTCGTGTTTGGCCAAAAATATAGTTCATTTCAGTATTGTGGAAACAGTCCTGATCTGAATGTGACCGAAAATATGGGAGCTATTGTCGCAGATAGGATGGATATTGAGTTCTATAAGAGGACGTTGAGGGTAGATACTTCAGAGAAACTCTTCTAAAATGACTTAAAAAGGTTTTACGAGGATTACAAAATGCCACATCCATATTTGAAGCGCGTTTAAGGTCATATATGAAAAGCATCGCTGCTGTTAACATGGCCTAGGGAGACACACCATTATTTTGGTTTTAAATTGACTTTAATTTTAGCCAAACACTAAATTTTGAAATCCCCGGTAACTCTTTCACATTTGTATGAGCTTTAAAATGATATATGACACATACTATGGAGACATTGATATATATCTGCCTAGGGAGGGGGCATACTTTCGAGACACCCTGTACATAGACATTTGTTACCTTAAATGTATAAACGCCATTGCTAATGTCCCCTGCTACAGGGCCACAATGTGTCTCTACTGTTGGCACATCGAAGATATTTCCTGTTGTCCATGCAAATTCAAACTGAAACGTAATTTTGAGAAAACTCAGACCCGCGTCTTACGTTTACAAAACAGACAGATGTGACAGGGAAATCCTTTTGATCTGACATCACCTGTTGAGAAGAGATACAATTTTCAAACGGCGTTATTTGACATGTCCGTAATTATATTTTGGCGGGATATATTACTTTGTAAATGTCGCCTCAAAGTGGCATCTCGAAAACTATAAAAGAACATACTGTAGATTGGGTTATTTTGGCGCTATTTTTGGCATATTGGCGGCTATTTAATTAACCCAATTTACAGTAATGAAAAACTGGTGTTAAATTTGGTATGATTACATTTTATCTTCATTTACGTCATTAAAGATTCAAAATCCATTTGTCACAAGACACAGTAAGAAAGCAAGAAAGGGAAAACATTTAAGATTACACTACTCTGAAGGAAAACTTACCCAAACCGGCCCAAATCGTAATTTATCTTGAAAGAAAGCAATGTCTTATACCCCCTCCCTCACCAGTCAGTTTAAAAAAAATTCAAGTAGGGGTCAAATTTCATAACATATGCAAGGCATCGTGTACACAAAAGCTATACTAATCATTTTATCAAAAATAAACACGTTATAATACAAAATCACTAGGTAAAAATTATACAAAGCATAATTAAGATGTTTGACACCTTACATTACAATTAATATCTATGCCATAAAGAGCAGGCCTTAAACTACTGCGTAGATTACCTTCAAAAGAATGGCAAGTACGAGTCCAACAGCTCCGGTCGCAACCATGATCATCAGCTGCAGTCGGGGAATACTGATCCTATCACATGTGATTATGAGAGTGCACAAACGTATAATACTTTATCTACAGGGCGACCACAAAAAAAGTATACTCAACTTCAAAGCCAGGATACCAGGATTCTGGGCAATCTTTTAAAAATTCAAAGGTAGCAGTATTAGGCCTAGTTTGTCTTTCATCAAATGGTACCTAAATCATTATGTAACTGTCATGGATGACTGAGCAATCAAGACTTTTATGAAAGGTGGTAAAATCAGCACTGTGCCAAGTTAGCATTCAAGTAGGATTGACACAATGAATGTTTTTTTGTGTTCAAAACATTTTTAATGTTCAAATTCAAACTTGTTCCATGTTCTTCAACCTTCTGCATAATTTTCCATAACTATTTATTGCTACCTCCCACTCGGGAAATTGGATCACAAGAGCCTCTTAATCAGCAATGAAACTTACATGGTGATGCACCTTTCCAGTCAACTGTATCCCCATTTAAGTCAATACACCCTTGCTGAAATCCTCATTTTCTTAGAAATTGATTGATTCTCAACAAGTAGATTCCTGTGGGGCAGTATTGCTACTATCCATTTACAATAGTAAGAATAGAGGTTCTTAAACAGTACACTGGACTTGCTTTTTAGAACTTTTTGTTGGCTCTTCTGCTCAGGTGTCAGTTGAACCATGTTTGCAGGCCTATTTTAAAGTAAGTTGAGCTTTTTGCCAAACCTTTTTTTTATAAGAGAGTTACTTAGCCCCAAGTCCAGTCCATTATGAAAGTCTTGTCCTCTAACATAATGTAACAGATAAAGAATACTAAGCCAATTACACATCAATTGCCACATAGGAGGATGACACAGCGCTAATTTTACCACCTGTCAGAATGGTCATGACTGTTACAGAATAATCTAGGTACCATTTTGATGGAGGAGAAATAAGGTTTTTTGCTGTTACCTTTGTATTAAAAGAAAAATGCTCAGGATTCCAGTAATTTGGTTTTGAAGTCGGTTATACTTTTTTTGCGGACACCCTGTACAACAACAACATAGATGCTGAGTGTCCTATGATCAATTAAGTACGTAGCTAGTCTCTTTATAACATCGTGACCCCTGCTCCTAATACAAAAACTTTAGACATATTTATCGGCTAAATAAAATAACTTGATACATCCGCATAGCTATGTCGTAAAACTGGAGTTTTAAAGTGTTTTTTCTTCGACTATATGACGTGTGTAGGGCTAAAGCTCAAACTACGTTACGTTGGCCTTGGTCTGAATAAAGTTCATGGGAATCCATGTAGATTGAGCCATAGGAAGATTTGCTTTTTCTCCGCTTCAAGACAGTTTATACGATTCAAGATTGTATTATGTTTCAAACCAAACATAAAAAAATTAACATTCGTATCCTCTGAAAGTTGAGATCAGTTTTGATTGCTGCATTTTATGCGGTGTGGGCTGATTCATTTAAAAATGTTGATAATGAATACAAAGTTCTCGTACTATCAATATTGATCATTTGCATGCCGTGATACTCGTTCTCTCATTGGTCAATTAGATACCATGTGACTAAAAATATATAGAAGTATTCCATGTCCCCTTGCTTAGAAAACGTGTGAAGAGTGTATTTACCGGCAGTGACGTAATTTTTAGTGAATACCACTATCTATTATATCATTGAAATGTTTCTCGCTTTTTCATTGGATAAGAACCGATCACATGATTAAAAATATTAGGGTGTATTTCATTGTTCCCTGCATTGTCCAGCTGCAGCCTCGTTTTCAACTGTATATACCACGGTAGAAAGTCCCGGATGTTATGTTTTTGTTATGACGTCACATCGATATTATAGAAAATACTTGGATACGCATGGCAACCAAGCATCATTGTTATGACGTCAAACTGAATTATTGATGTTTATAAACCAGTGATGTCATAAGTCATCGTGCACGTGTGACTTTTGAGGATGAGAGATGGTAATATCTTGCATCGGACTAAGAGTGGCTGTATCTTGGTTATTCATGTGACACATGTATCGTATCTAATAATGTATTAAATGGTTTGAATACGCCTAATTTGAAGAAGATTCAAATGATATAATAAATGATACAATAAATCAAATATTCCATTCTATTTTCGGTGAATACATGTTCATCTTTCCCTCGGGTATATTTCCCGTGCCCTTCGGGCTGCGGGAAATATACTGAGGGAAAGATGAACATGTATTCACCTGACTAGAGATTTTACATTTTGGAATGCCAACCTAAGGTCCCTACGATGACATGGGTGCACTAATTATAAGGTCCTATCACTTTTGGAAGAATTTATTTTCATTCATAAGGTAGTACAGGAGTCTTTACATTTTATAAGCACAACATTCTGAATACACACTCAATGGAGCCAGTTACTTGAATAAAACCTAGACATTGCAAATCTATGGAGTAAATGTACTGTAGAATATAACGTATCAATGTGCAAAAGTATGGTGTTAAAACTGTATCAAAATTGGACATCTTATATTTATGTGATATCTCTAACACATAGAATACACAAGACAAAATCGTGTTTAATAACTAGCAATACCAATGTTACAACCATCTTACCCGGTCCTTAGTACTCGCAATCCTTGATTATTGATACACTTATTTGGAAGGCTATTTGAGCTTACCCGTTGGTATTGATACACTTATCTGTGTTTTTTAGGCCCGAATACTGAGGTTTATTTTTTTAATTATTGAGTCTTATTCTATTGCATTAATATGTAGTTGACTTTGTAACTACGGACGTGATATGATAGGTCTATTACATAATATGTATATATAAATATCGTGATGATTAATGAATCTAGATGAAGACTAATCATTAAAACAAACTTAGACGACATTTAATATTTAAAGAAAAATAATTTGATAGATAACTTCTGCATGTATAAGTCTCTTAGTAAAAAATTTAAGGGAAACGGGTTTCGTGATTTAACAGAGGACAGCAAGGTATCAATGTTGTTGTCTACGATCCCGGGTTCACGCTGTTTATTTACAGTTTGTAGATTAAAGATCCTTATTTAAAGACAACGTCGTCTTTATGAATTATTTAAGACATCAGTAGTCACAGAAATTGATTATCCGAAGAGGATACCGAGTTCTGACCAGCAGACGAACAATTGCAGACATGGGCTAAGTTTGTTTATTTAACAGTTAGATTTGTTGACTTACTGATCCGTATTGTAATCTCTGGGAAGATGTTATTTTTATTTATTCTATACTTTGTATTTGCGTCCAATGTAATAAAGTTGATACTTTTATGAACAAGAATTTCATTTTAATGGCCATTTTGTATGCCTTTTATTTCCACACCATGTTTTGATTTTGCCTCGATGTTATTGTGTCATAGTGTTTTTGCTATAAAATTCAAGAAATGTCAACTTTTTAATTAAGGAATGTTGTTTACTCTCTTGTGGTAAATCAAATTGTTGATGATGTCAACGGATCATGAGATAACACATTGTCCGGGGAAAGATATCAATATCAGTTGTATATCGGATAGAAAAATAAATATTATAGTAGATGCTAATTGTTTGCTCTGAAATAATGTGACTAATGACTATTCCAGCGAATCAGGTAGATATTTCAACGGTTTTCGCGTAATGAAAGAATTTAGTTTTCGTTTCTATTAATTTGACAAGTAGGGTCGTTGATAAACACATATAACTGTAAAAGTATTTATTGGAAGTACTTGTTTTAACAGTCATTTCGCTTCTCTTTTTGTCTCTCGACAGGCATAGGCGTAGCCAGGGGGTGGGGGGGGGGGGTTGCGGTGCATAACCAATAAAATAGAACCAAGAAATAGAAGAAGATATAGAAGCTTCAAGCTCAATTTTGAAGGAAGTTGCATCTTTTGGCTTGCTTTTGCCACGATCGCAACCCCCTCCCCCGACTGAAAACCGTAATTGTTTTTTGGCGATCGCACCCCCCCCCCTCCCCCGACTGAAAGTTGGCTACGCCCCTGAACATGGATAATAGGGGCACTATTACGCTGCGTGCAGAGTCTAATTATAAACTACGAGAAGACGAAACTCTCATTTAAGAAGTGAAGTCGAACAAAGGGTATTATAGAAGGGGATCATATAAAAGCACGATCTATTTCAAAACGCCTTTAACTTTTGTTCTTCAACTGTTGCCCTTTGTGCATTTCAAAAATAAAATATCTTAATCTGATTTGTTCCACCTTTCTTTTCGCTCAGTTCTGCAATATTATCATTATGTCCATATGTTGTTTAGGATTATGTCATTTGCGAAATAGCTGTAAGACATTATGAGAATGAGGATGGGAGTTTCCACGATAATGTTGTTCACATGATTTTATACACATACCTGCATAACAATCGGAGACAGAAGTCTTAATATTGTCCAATCAAAAAATAAGAAAACAAACATTTAATGATAACAAAAGGATTAATTGCTTAGTTCTCTTTGTCTTAGTCTTTGTTTTCTTAAATGCGGAAGTGTACCAACATCACCTAGATTACATAAGAGATCATCTAACAGTCTAAAATTGCTTTTAATTGCAAGTTAATGCATTCCGATCAAAATTTGTATACCTGTAATGGGGGGGGGGGCGATGTTACATCACATAACTACAACGTTCAATAAAATATACAATAAGCATGTCCGTATAAAAGCTAAAATTATAAAAACTCATTTCAAAGTCATTCTGTTCATGGAAGCGTCAAGTTATGAAAAACAATGCTAAACACTCAAACAAATCGACTTGATTACCTTTGAAAACCTCTTGAGACGAAATGGGCAAATGTATTTTTCGAACTCATTAGCACGTCTGTCTGATTGAACAGAGACATATAAAACAAATACTATTTTTTAAATGCAAACATAAATGATTTAATCTTGGTCAGAAGTCTAAACATTGTCCAACAAAATAATAAGAATCTAACATTTAATGATTACAAAAGGATTAATTGCTATATAGTCTTAGTCTTTGTTTTTCTAACGGCGGAAGTGTACCAACATCACCTTGATTACAGGAGAGATCATCTAAC